AAGAATTCCCCCTCTCTGATCTCCTTCCCAAGGAGCCTGGAACACAAAGAGGACTCCCTGATTTACTACATGAGACTAGCAGATGGCTTTTCACTGTTTTCCTGGTCAAAGTATGAAAAAGAGTGGATTCATCTTCTTGTACAATTGGTCTCAGTCCCCACCATGGATTTATTTTGGTTCTCTCTATCAGTCCTATTAATGAGATCTTTTAATTCTTTGAAACTGGGAATATAACTTGTTGCATCTTCTGGTCTTCTTGATTATTCATTTAATTGGGAAAAATGCTGTAAATGAAGTGACAATTTTTTTTTCCTCAGCTGAACCATGTCTCATTTACATCTCAGAGGGAAGTTGAGGTTTAGGTTTAGGTTAGGTTAAAGGTGGGTCTATACATGATGGACCAGACCTTGAGAGCTAATTCTATACCTCATTCCCCATCTCCAGACCACGCTCCCGCGGCCCCCGCGAGCCTCTTCCAGTTAGCGCACAGACATGGAACTGAGAGGCCACGTCATTCCAGCAGAGGTCCTGGGATTTTCCTGTGGCGTTGGGGTAGCTGGGGCAGGTGGCGTTGGGGTAGCTGGGGCAGGTGGCGTTGGGGTAGCTGGGGCAGGTGGCGTTGGGGTAGCTGGGGCAGTCGGCAGGGTGGTGAGGAGGAGACCGGGAGGCCCCCAGTCTCCCTGCGGGTCTCCCTGTAAGATGTGGCTGCTCTGCAGCGCCGCTCAGCACCTGCCTCATGGGTTCCACAGAGCCAGTGGGAAGGTGGGGCAGCGGCTGAGCACGGCCCGAGGTACCGGCCCCCACGGTGTGCTGCTCCTCTGGATGAAAAAGGCACACGGATGTGTGGGGGAGATCAACTCTCCTTTTTTCTAGAAATGCCACCTCTTTAGCGCCTGATAATTAAATAAGTGCATTTTCATCATTTATTAGAAGGCTTCCCATTCTGTTCCAGCCGGCTGGCATTCTTACATTTATAGCCATGTTATGAACCTCGGAGTGGGAGCCTGTTTGATTCACAGTTCAAACCGTTCCACACCTGTGGGCTGGGGTCTTGAACCAGTGCTTACTGAGCATCACACCCAAATTCCCCATGCTGTCTCAGCACCCCAGCCCCTCGGTTAACACGGCAAATGGCTTCTTGTCTCCGCATACACCCTCTTCCTGCCCCTCCATACACAGTTGAGCTGCCCCTACCGGCCTTCTGCATTTCCAATGGCTGCAGCAAAGCAGGTAACACGAGGAGCTAACCACAGAGAAGATCAGTGCTCCTATGCATACTCCTATGCATTACTCGAGTAAGCCAGCTGTTTTTCTCATTGGTCATCTACTGTGCTGCCATCTAGGAAGCTAAGCCTAGACAAACCGAAGAGCAGAAGCCAACGGAAAGCAGGCAGGGGTGCTTGAAGGGGAAGGCTAGACCGCGTGCTTGCCGGGCTCTAATTAGAAATCACGGAATCAGCTGCATATCCTTCCACTCAGGCCACCGTCATGAAGGAGTGTCAGCCCTTGCTGGCTGTTGTCCATTGTGTGGCGAGTTCCTGTGTCTGTGCAATGTCACTACTACGCCTTCCCACTCCAGGAGCATCACATACCAGACCACGCGAGGGCAGAGACTGAGCTGGCGCTTGCCGCCCTGGATGAAGAGGGAGTTAGAAGCTGAGGGCCGACACGATGGCTACATGAGGATGAACTGACTGGTCCCAGCTGATCATCCCATGGCTATTTATTTTTCCGGTCATCGGTCTGGCCGACCCACCTTCGGGGGGTTGCTCGATCTCATTGTTGTGGGAAGTCCCACAGCAAGCCACGTGTTGGCCATCAACTTCCGATGAGCTGTTGGGTCTGTGTGAGTGGCACAGCTGGCGCCGGGCAGTGCACAACCTGCGCACACTGGGCAGACGCACGGCCGCAGTGTGCAATACACTGAGGAGCCTCCCGCAGCAGGGCGGTGAAAGCGGGCTGAGCAGCATGCATGCTCAGACTGCTCAGTGAGAGCGAGAGGCCAGCACCAGCACACCACCCTCGTCCTGAGCGGGCAGGCCTCGCACCGCTGAGCCCTAGCAAGTCTCTTGATCCCCGCAGCCTCCCCCTTTCTTCCAGTGGATATAGACCACATGTCTGCCAGCCCCATGGAAAAGGGAGTTCTTCCCTGTTCTGGAAACAGGGCTGGGAACAAGGTAGGTCACGCTCTTCCTTGTCAAAATTCATATGGAGGAAAACAATCACGCTGTTTTCCCGAGTGGTGCAAGCTACAAGGAGATAAACAAGTGCCCGGTGTGGTGTGATGGCAAGTGGCTGCCGGCCGCCCCCTGAACCGCACGTGTCTGGAAAACCTTCCGAAGAGGCAGGAGCTGCGGGAAGAGGCGGGGAAGGGCGCTCCGGAGACCAGGGAGCCTGGATTAGCAGTGCGGAAGCCTTGAGGCGGGAATGAACACGCGTGGCGTAGAGAAAGGCTGTCCTCTCCTCCCAGAGCTGGGGAGATTGGCCATGCGGGTCACTGGCAGCGTGAGGGCTGCCTAAATGGTTTTGCTCCCCAGTCAAAGCGTCCGAAGCAGGGCCGGATTGCTGGCGGAGGCCCCCACTCTGCTTCTCCTGCTCCTGGCTCTTCCACTTCTCCTCTTTGGCTTGTGTGCTGGGTAATCTCCCCAAGTGTTTGGGATTAAAACCCAGCCACCTCCCCTCAGGCTCTCTCTCAGTTCTGGCAGCTGACATTGAGCTGCTCTTGGCAGGTGAAGAAATATCATGTTTTTAAAACTTCCTCCAGGGCAGGCTGTTTCTGCAGAAAGGCCTGCAGACTTTAATTTTGAAGCACCTTAATCAAAGCCCTCTGAAGGGCAATTTAGGTCACAGTCCTGTACAATGAATCGTTTTCCAAGTAAAGCAGACCCGGAAATAGCTGATGAAACTGTAGAAGATAATGCAGAAGTTAATGCATATTTGATTTGTTTACCCCTTCAGAAAGTTCTTATCTGATCAGGAAAGCTTCTGCTTCCATCACTGAAATTTGAGGTCTCCTGATAGCTGAGATTCTGGAGTCATTTCACCATCCACCCTACTCCAGGGCCATTACAGGAAATAAAAAATGTATCAGCGCTCACAGCGGTGTTCCTCTCCCGGGCACGGAGGCCCCTGCCTGAGACAGCAGAGCGAGGGTCGCCATCTCGCCGTGAACCCAGCTGCGCAGCCCAGCCGGCCAAGGTCAAGCAGGAGACTCTGAAGATCAAAAGCCGAAGCTTTCATTTGCCCAGCAATTTGCATGTCGTGTAAAAGCCGTAACTTAGTGTTTCCACCGAGTGGATGGGGAGGAGAAGGGAGAGTGCCAGGGGCAGCCACAGGTCCTCACTGAGGTTAAAGTTCGTCCTGTCTCCCCCCCCCCTACTGTGTTACTTAAAGATAAGTCGGTGTGGGATTTCATTATCAACGGCGAAATTTGAAGTCATAATGATTGCCTTGCCTGTGCTTATTAAGTGACATTGGGCAGCCGTCTTTCCCCAGGACTTCTCTCTCTTCCTTGGTGTCAGCTCCAGGTTCCTTCTTGGCAGGGTTCAGCATTCGGTGTCACATTGTGCATGGCCTTCACAGGCAGGGCCATATCCATCCCTTCTCTCTGAAGCAAGGTCCACGGACAGACACGTAGACACGTACTCACTGCTGTACGGAAGTGGCGCTGTAGCTCAAGTGGTAGAGCACTTGCCTTGTGCTGAAGAGCTGAGGGACAGCGCCCAGGCCCAGAGTTCAAGCCCCACGACCGACCAAAAAAAAAAAAGAAAAAGAAATGGTACTCACTGCTCTAGAAAGAGACTCTGTATAGGATCTGCTATCTTATCTATAAAACTGCATCTCTCCAAGCAATGGCCTACCCAATGCCTCCCTGCCTGTGGGCAGTCATTAAGTGAGCAGAATATTCTGGGTACTAGACACTGTGAAGAGGGAAGAAAGATTTATTGTTCCCATCTGTTTAGCCAACTGGCCCATCCTCAGTCCAGCAGAGAGGCTCTGCCCTGAACTGAACCTGGTGCCGGCTTCTGGGTGGGTTGTAATTTCTCTGTTCTCTTGGCTGATACCAATATATCTGTGTCCTAACTGCCATGATACTGACTGTCATTAGATATTGCAATAAGTAGCATAAGATCTCTAGCTTGTGCTTGTTCAAGATTGTCTTGGATATTCTTGGCCAAGATCAAGTAAATCAGAATCTATCCTAGGCATAGAGACTTTATGGGTTCCCAGTTGACCACGAAGTACAGCCGGAGGTGAGAGCCACTCGCTGAGGACTTTTGGTATGTCTGCGGATTCTGTCAAGGCCTGGGGAAAATTGTCCCTTCTGGCTCCTTCCGGAAAACTCTATGGCCTAATCCCTCCTCAACACATAGTTCTTGGAAAGTGTTCACATCATGTCATCTGGTTCAACACAACAGGGGTGTGATGATAGCTTTTTTTTACCTGACATTTTTCTGTTGACTTTGATCTTCTTTAACCCAATTCATCTTCAATTTTAAAATGTACTGTGAAGCCAGGCGCCAGTGGTTCATGCCTGTCATCCTAGCTACTCAGGAGGCTGAGATCTGAGGATCACGGTTCAAAGCCAGCCTGGGCAGGAAAGACCGCGGGACTCTTATCTCCAACAAAACACCAGAAAACCAAAACTGGCACTGTGGCTCAAGTAGTTTAGTGTTGGCCTTAAGCTGAAGACCTGCAGGACAGTGCCCAGCCCCAGAGTTCAAGCCCCAGGACCGATAAAAAAAATAAATAAAATAAAATTTACTGTGAGCTAAGAATTGCTAGATAAATCAAGAATGCCATATTCTTTAAAGACCTTTCATAGCCTTCAAAACCCTACTGCTTTAATATCTACTTGTTACTTTGTTACTGTTAGGTTTGGATTTAGTGGGAAAATGGACCTCTTATTAGGTCTTTGGTTTTAAACTCCTAAACCTCTTCCATTAAGTCTTTAAAAATTAAGGTTTAGTGAACTCCCACATGCACCTGATAGTGTTACCATGGAAGGTTTCAGCCTGATAAAACGTATGTAGAAATTATTTTCCGTTTGCAGTTCAATGATGAGAGCTGGGATTCTTGTGTCCGCATGTGTACACTGCATGCAGTGAGCTGGGTCCCTTCCAGACTTCCTTCCTAGTCACACTGACAAAACATTTGAATTCAAGCATTTAAAATATCTGGTAGACTTGGCCAGCCTGGAAAGGAAGAAAAACCTGGGAATGGATTCCCGGAGCTGGTCCCCACCAACAGCAGGCCAATTAAATGCTGAGATCACTTGGGAAGAGTTTAATGAAGCATCTTGTCGACAGAGCAGTAGGAAGTGCGTCTTCATCTTAAGTCTGTCGGACATGTACACATGCTGCCACGGCGCGACCCGTGTGGCAGGAAGGGACCAGAAATCAAACTTACCACCCCTCCCCCTCTCTCTGTCAATACAGGCGCTGCAGAGATATGTAGATATGGATAGATGTCTTTTGTCTGCGCCTTGCTCTATCTCATCACCAGTTGCACACGGGAGTGGGAAGCAGGCTGAGCCGGAAGCTTGCGTCTGGAAGTGGGTTTGTGGGGAGGGAGGCAGCAGAAGCAGTCCCGGGGCGTTGTGGCTGGAGATCACCGCTGGGGAGGAGGGACTGGGGAGGCTGGGAAGGACTCCCGTGGGACCGGCTGCCGCACATGGCTTGTGCTCCTCTTCTGGGAGCTGGCCTGTCAGCCGAGGATGCTGGCGGGGATCCTGTGTCTCCACTCGGGGCTCTGCTCCAGGAGCTGTGCTGGAGGCTGGACTTGTACACATCCTGGGAATCAGAGGCAGAAAGGAGGCAGTTGTGCAGGCCGCTTGTCTACACCCTGCCCTGTCTCCCCTCCTTCCTGCCTGGTGGCGGCCTGTGGATGGCCGGCCACTTCACATGTGGCAGGGGGGCTGGGCCAGGCACCGGTGGCCTGCCCAGCTCCACTTGCACCATTTTGCTGATAGACATCTCCCTCGTGCTCCATCCAGGAAGGCGGTGTCTGTGAGCAGGCCGCGTCTGTGAGCAGGCCGCGTGGGCGCTTGGGGGTTCGTTTGTGCTTGGACAGGCTGGGCTTTCATTCCCCCACTATCAGAGCCTCTGGTTTCAGGCCTTTCCGTTCGACTTCCCTGGGTCTTGCATCCTGCCTGGCTTCCCTGCTGTAGACCTGGCTCAAGCCCAGCAGTCTAGTTCACGCGTGTGTTTGCTTGCGTACATGTTAAATCATGTTTATTTTGTGAACTTTGTATTTATTTCTTATCTGTTTTTAAAGCAGTTTTTCCCATCGAGAACGTCTTAGCAGAGTTCTCTCAGCATAGCTTTTGCAGGAAGTTGGCGTCGTGTTTATCTCTCTGTGGTCTGGAATCCGGGAAACCCCGCGTGGAAGTGAGGCTGGAGGTTCTCCCTGGATTTCCAGTATGAGTTTGTCATCACACTGGCAGCCTTCCCACTGCCCCCGCCCCCCTCCCCCCCCCCCGGCTCAGCCCGTGCCTCCACTCAGTCCCTGTGCTGGTGTCACACAGGGAGCTAGGACAAAATCCCAGCATACGGAGCCCACCGTGACGCGCTGTGTTCATGTTCTCTCGCACAGGTCAGAACTGTGGTGGTTTGGTGCAGGGACCGAATGGCACCATCGAGAGCCCCGGCTTCCCCCACGGGTACCCAAACTACGCCAACTGCACCTGGATGGTGATCGCTGGAGAGCGTAACAGGATCCAGCTCTCCTTCCACACCTTCGCGCTCGAGGAGGACTTCGACATCCTGTCGGTCTACGATGGACAGCCCCAGCAAGGGAATCTGAAAGTGAGGTAAAGTGGGGTTCTGGGCACTGTCTGCGGGGCAGAGATGCCGCGGATCCGGTTTCCAAAACATACGTGGGATGATTATTAAGTGTCATAATCAGAAAGGAAAAGTCAAGTCACTGCAAAGGGAAAACTAGGGATGTCAGGCTTTTGTCAAATCATGTACGATGTCTTGGTTATACTTGAAAACTTCTCCTGGCAAGCAATTGTTGACTTCATTTGTAGATTTCACATTGCTGGAGATCTGTGGGGCAGTGTCATCAAGGTAATTTAAATCCAGTTACGGCGCATCATTGTCTTCAAGCACTGTGGATTGGGGGAAATCACAAAGATGAGGGAGCTAGAACAATTTAGACAACAATACGAAGAACCTTCAGTGTGTGAACAAACACACTCAGCGAGAACACCGGGTGTGGGCTGAGGAGGAGCCGCCCAGGCTGCTGAATCCTCGGGAGAGATTTTCTTTTAGACAAGCAACATTGATTTTTTTATTTTGATGTATGATTTTTACCATGAGGAAAGAAAAATAGCATTCCATGGAATTATTTAAACTTTCCTCACACGTCCATGTAGCCTTTCTTAATTAGCAAAGGAGGAGGAATATCGCTTTCAAAGAATCAGATTTTCTTCACTGATTCTGATAAGTGATTTTTACACTTTTTATTGTTTCTAGTCTTTGCATTTTTGAAAGACAAGGCATGTTTGTCAAATCTGTACGAATGAGCAATATCTTCCTCCTCAGTGAACTTATTTAAAAATATACATCCATGGTCAACAAAGTCTACATCTTCTCGCTTTAAAATTCTGCATTAGTCAGAGGTTGTGTTTAATGACTGAAAGTTTGAACAAAAATTGACCACCGGTAGGAAGAATTGCACTGCTCAATAATAAAATGTTATCACTGCCAGTGCCAGCTGAAACATACGAAATCGTAGATTATTAATAGGGTTGCTGGGTGAAAATACATAGCTTATTTTGATTTGTAAATCTAGTTAACAAATTTATGTCATCAACACTACATGGTGAGTATATGAAATGCAATGTGTTTCCTAATGTATTTTGAAATACTTTATATATTCACTATCCACTTTCAAATATAAAATACCTTCTTTTTCTGCAATATTTGTTGTCTGTGTTTAGAAACAAGATTTTTCCATTTATTATGGAGTGGTCCTTTCCTGTTTAAATTGGCTAAACAAATCTTCTTTCATTTTATGGATTTATGGTGCTACCTTTGGCTGTTTGTACAAAGCACCTGCAGTATATCCTTGGTCAGTTCGTATGAGATTTTTTAACTCTCACCTTTCTCTGCTAAATGTATTTACTTTATATCTGCATGTCCGACTCTTTGGGAATGATGGCATGTTAAAATAGCAAAGCGAAACAGACTGCACACTGTGCAGAGAAATAAATTAAAATACACATTAATCAAATAGCAACTCATAGAACTGACGTTACAATTAATTCTTCTTCATTAATAATGTCTAGTTAATATGTACTAAAATGCCTTCATTTTCCTTTCCTTAATATTTCCATTTCCTGTCGTTCCTTCACATAGAGAAAATATGTTTTGTGTGCTAATTCGATTGACTGCCTGCTGCTCAGTAGCTCCAATAATTCATAATCCTCTTATTTCTGAAGGATGATATTAATATCATTTTTCTGTTAACAAACTCTATAATATGGCTTCCTTGTGCTCTTCAGTTTTATGACAGGAGTGAAAATGGAAATATTAAGGTTAGAACAATTACACTTAGCATGTCTTTGCTTTTTAAAAATATTTGGTGGCACTGTGGTTTGAACTTGGGATCTGGGACTTGCTGGACACCGTGCCTGTCTGCAGCACAGCCTTTCTCTGTACAATGCCTTTGGGAAGCTGCCGTGACAGCCCTGGGCCACTCTACGTGGCTGGTTTCCTGTGTCTTAATTTGAGGGCCCAATGAGTCATATCCAAAATGGCGAGTCTACCCCGGGAAGCCACCCCCTCAATGGGGGATGGCTGTGTGACACTGTGGTCCTCAGCCTTAGAGAGATACTGTCAGCAAGAGACAAACAACACAAGGGGCCCTGTGAGTTTCTAGCGTCTGTGTCTGGATTTTGGTTTTTGTTTCTTGTCTCTTCCCATTGGGGACATCACCCAGTAATAGGTCAGGTCTCAACTTGTGTCTTGTCCTTAAAGTAAGGTTGAAACTTTCATCTTAATGTCGAATGACATAATTCTTCTTCCTGTCTCCATGTCTGGCCTGCTTAGGTGGGTGCCATTCTTAGGGGGTGTCCTGGATCTTTGGGGGTCTATTCTAGCTATTGTAACTTCAATTGGCAAGAAAAGTGTGATCTGATGGGTAACTGCTGTGCTGGTTGAATATGTGACAATTAGAAGTAGGCGGCAGATGATGTGGAAGGAGGGCAGATAGCGGCAGGTTACAGGTGGTAGCGAAGGCCATTGGCTCTGGGGAGAGCACTGGGGTGATGGTTCCTCCCCATTCTATTGGGGAGCCGTTGACTTAGTCTCAACCACAGTCACCTGACCACACCTGAGCTGTGCTGGGGTAACAAGGGTAGCCGGGCGAGCGGAGGGAAGTCCAGCGCCGGGCAGTGCGGCCACCCAGGAGCTGTTCCAGAGAGCCGCCACGGCTCTGCTTCACGAGGTTCTTTGCAGTAGCTGAGAAGACACGCTGACTGGAGAGCGCTGCTTGTTTGTCACTGACATGAGTGTTTCACTATAAGAGCGTGTCACTATTGGCTCACCACAGGAGGAAGAATTGCACTGCTTCAGTAATAAAGCATTATCACGGCGAGGCCAGCTGAAATGTACGGAATCATAGACTGTTAATGGGTTTGTGGGGTAGAACACATCTAGTTCATTTTGATTTGTAAATCTAATTCGCATATTTATGTCACCACTACTGCATGGTTAGTGTATCGAATGTGATGTGTTTCCTTAATGTATTTTGAAATATTTTATTTATATATTCACTATCCACTTTCTGAATGGACATAAGAGGCAGAGTGAATCCCTAGCTGGCAAAATGGAACACTTAAGTTTAGAATAATTGAGTTTATTACAGTTTGAACATCAAAATTTTAAAATTAGAAAAACTTAAACTATAATTTACACATTATAATTTATAAATATGCTCTTCCTGGGCTAGTTCTTTAGTGCAAACACACTGACGACACGTACAGAATTTGTACCACATGTACCCCATTGATAACTTCAATTTTCACATGTAGGTTTGGAAAGCTGGAGCAAGACTTCTCCCCAGTTCCTCATTGACTTTTCTGAGCCGTCAGATTCTATTGACGAAAGCTGGGCGCATATTGGCCCAGCACCTCTTGCTTTCTCCCTCTCCACCGTGGTCTGATCGCTCAGTCACTATCCTGAAATCTTGATGTTGCAGCAAGACCCCCGTACCCAAAGGCACTTCCAGGAAGAGCTGTGGTGCGGCTCTGTGTGCTTCTTTCTGGCTGGCCAGGACACCCACCGTGACAGTCCTGCATGTTGTCCCCCCTCTGTTCCATGATGTGTGCATGCAGCAAGTTGAGACTTCCAGATGGAAGCTTCCTGTTACCAGCAGCTCCACCCATGGCTGGGCTCCGCTTCCAGGCCCCTCCCTGCGCTCCGCTTCCAGGCCCCTCCCTGGGCTCCTCTTCCAGGCCCCTCCCTGCGCTCCTCTTCCAGGCCCCTCCCTGGGCTCCTCTTCCAGGCCTCTCCCTGGGCTCCTCTTCCAGGCCCCTCCCTGGGCTCCTCTTCCAGGCCCCTCCCTGCGCTCCTCTTCCAGGAGTCCTCCCTGCGCTCCTCTTCCAGGAGTCCTCCCTGCGCTTCTCTTCTAGGAGTCCTCCCTGCGCTCCTCTTCTAGGAGTCCTCCCTGCGCTCCTCTTCCAGGAGTCCTCCCTGGGCTCCTCTTCCAGGAGTCCTCCCTGCGCTCCTCTTCTAGGAGTCCTCCCTGCGCTCCTCTTCCAGGCCCCTCCCTGCGCTCCTCTTCCAGGCCCCTCCCTGCGCTCCTCTTCCAGGCCCCTCCCTGGGCTCCTCTTCTAGGCCCCTCCCTGCGCTCCTCTTC